ATACGGTTACTAACAGATATGAACTTGCCACTGATAACTTCCACAATTAGGGCATCATCAAGTTTTTCTATAGGCAATGCTAATATTCCACCAATTTATGCGACACAAAGGAGTAGTTGGCTCCGGAATCAAATAATATATTTGCAGGCAAACCATTTACAAGAAAGGTACCTGAAGCGACGTCTGCTGCCTCCTTTGCAGCCTTGAGCGTCATTTGGAAGGCTCTCGCCTTTGGCTTCGGTGGTATGTTGGGTCTCCCTGCCTCCTTCTTCTTCGGGCAGTCCTTCAAAACGTGCCCTTCCTCATTACACCTGTAACATGCCTTCTGGGTGAGGGTACATTCGTTGGCATAGTTCCTTGGTTTTCCACACTTGTAACAAGTGACTCCCCCGTCACATTTCCCAGTGTGCTTCTTCTTGCACTTGTCACGCCACTTCGCTTCTGATCCTCCTCCTCTCGAACCATACTTCAAGAATATACTCTTCTTATTGGACTTTGAGGATCCATGAAACTTTCGTTTTTCACCAACCTCGTTTTTCACCAACCTCTCGAAACATACTTCAAGAATATAATCTTCCCTTCCTCAAGTTTTGGGACTCATATTTTAGGTCGATCAGATCTATCTCTGAACAATATTGCATCTTCAGTTGTTCCAAGAACTCATCCCATGACATTTTCGGATGAAAGACCCTGAATAATGGTTTGGTCTAGGCATAGTAGTTAGTGGTAGTGGGTGTGTGGGATAATTGTTTTTGTTTTGAGTTTACAGTCAATGTGTGTTTACGGCCGTAAACTCCTTATGACCGTAAACACCTTGCGATTGTAAGTTGAAGTCTATAAATAAGGGGTTGTGTCAGACTTTAAAGGTTGTTGATGCCTTCGTATTTTCCCAAGTTGTATCTGACGTTTTATTGCGTTAAAGCGTATGCAACTTGGTTTCATTCGATTTTGCTTATTGATTTTTTGCTTATTGATTCGTATTGTGCATCTGTTATTCGTTTTGATCATTGATAGATCCCTTTTCGGGCTTTACAATTGCATCTTCAGTTGTTCCAAGAACTCATCCCATGATATTTTCGGAGTTTCTCCTCGTAACATTGTATCCGCCAATAGTTTCCACCAGCTCAAGACTCCAGTTTTCAGTTGTCTTATAGCAAAGACGGTTTTCTGCTTCTCGCTGAACTCGTAGCTTTCAAACACCATCTTCATCTCGTAGATCCAATCCATTATCTCCACAGGCTTAGGGCTTCCTGAGATACTTGGTGGTTTTGCACCCAAGAAATTCTTGTACATCCGCCCATCCTTGTTGTTTCTCCTCTCCGGGCCATCCCTTTGCTCACCTTGAGTCTCTACTTGACTCCCATGGCGGCTGTAGTTCCCTTTCTCAGATTGCTCGGGAATTGGCTCGGTTGGCTCAACATGTATGGTAGGTTCATCCCTATTTTCGTGGAACATCTATCTCATTTCATCCCTTTGTTCAGCTAGCATAGCCCGAGTCATGGCTTGAACTCCAGCCATGGTGTCTGGCTTAGGTGCAGCTCCAACTACAACAGGTATTTGCTGAATCACTGGGGGTTGATTCCTATTCCCATTCACATTCCCAGCTCCACTGCAGGTTCTTGTCATTTTGATCTATACACCGAATAAGGTGTATTTAGATCTTTATTTAGGATAGACGTTTAAATCATCCTTATCACTCCGAAACGTTTATATGCTAGTTCTAATATTGTAGTCGTACGTTTAGAATCCTAAACACATAAGGTTTCCAGATCCGGTCAGCAACATACCATAGATTCGAACAAATAACAACATATCGGGCACAAAGAATTTAGCACATGAAAGCATTTTAGGCACAATTCCTAAAATAAGCTAGTGCTCACATCTCACAATCATTGCTTAGCATTCTAAGTTTAAGTCTAGAAATCCTACAAATTCATAGTTCGCTTAAACTAATGCTCTGATACCAACTGTGACATCCCCAAAATCACGGCCAGAAAAGACCAGTTTTGTTTTTACTTTATTTCAAAATTAGAGTAACCTTTTAATAAAAGAGTTACGAAATTTGTCCTAAAACAATAATATGATAAAGAGTTATCAAAAGCATTTCCTTATAAATGTATATCATTAAACGACTCGGGATGTTATGTTCGATACAGTACATAAGTATAAACAATACAATATAAGCCTTACTACATTATTTCATATCCGTAATCCGTAATCCCACCATTTCACTACTATGCTCGAGCGCCACTACCTGTAATACATAAAACTGAGTGGGTCAGGCTTGGGAGCCTGGTGATCACATATGGTTTTCAACCCACAATAAATAAGTTTATTAATTTCATCGACCAGCAATAACCTGATTACCCGTTCCCGTTATCCTCACATTACGTCCCTAAACACCTATCATAAGGGACCTATCCTAAGGATCATCATCGGGATGGACACTACTGCTAAGAGGGTTCCTCAGCAATAAATGTCCTAAAGGCAACCATGAGGGGGCTGGAGTACACCGGTGAACACATCGTTCCACTGGACTGTCTAGAAGAGTCCATGGTTGTCATCTATACTCCGCTAGATGACTGGATCAACAACAACAACATCGAGGCCTCTCATCATTTTATCACACATCGTCTTATTACATCTACCCATGTTTACCCCAACATTTTTATAGATATAAAATACATATATACAGTTTAAATCATTTAAAACTTGTATAAAAACATCCATCTAGCATAGATAACAAGTATACATATAATATGCACACATAGCACGTAATATATAAAATACTTCATATCTATGTGTAAGATGAAAGTAACTATGCACTCACTTGAAAATGTGGTGATTCGGTACTCGAACAACGCTTCGTTTACTTTAAAATAATTTCCTTCGACGAAACATAGTATTATTACCACTAGATTTTAGTCTAATATTAATGTGACTAACTATTAGTCTTATTGTTATTATTATTACATAAGCGTTTAAACAATACTTTCCAACCACTGTGTACAGACAGGGCCAGACATAAAACACCGGAGGGCAGGACCATTTTGGCGTATAGCACTTCTGAAATCCAACAACCCTATACGGCCCTTTAAACCAGATTCTCCGTACCGCGAGTAGTTAAAAAGATATTATAACGACACTTATATAAGTCATAATAATAGCTCAAATATTTATTATAAGTTCATAATAACAATAATAGTTTTAAATATAAGCTATATTAAAATAGGGTAATCATAACTCATTTACAAGGGGATTTTAGCTATGAGTCGGGCTCTGCAGGGGCAGAACTTCGTCGCTGAATCTTTCTAAGAAAAATTCGTGCAACGCTTCAACGCTTACCTTACTATACTAAAAACTATAGAAAGAGAAGTAGAATCACGAGGGACCGAAATGCTCGGGGGGATAAGGAGAGAAAGACTCTTGAATCAAGAGAATGGTGCAAGAAGTATGAGAGCCCAAGGCTCTTATTTATAGTAATTGAATTTTCAAAAACTACCCTCCATAATTACTTAATGACCTTTTAGTTATATAAACAACTAAACACCCCTGTATAATACTATTTTAAATGGATTTAATCATATTTTTACTAAACTAATATCGAAAGAACTCAACATTCGTCTTATAATGACCGCATCTTCGATACCTTTCTAATGATATATACATATGTATATATATATGTGTACGTATATAAGATTTATACTTTATTTTAATACGTAAATATGCTATTATAATTTGTAACTCGTTCATACGAACTCCATTTTTGACGTTCTTTATATCCACACGTAGGTGGAGACGTACTCTACAGCTTTCGTTTAGACTCCGTCGGCTAATTTTGACTTTATTTTTAAAGTTATATTTTTATCAGGCCGGGACAGGATTGGTCCGTTAAAATTTCATAACTTCTTCATACGAAGTCAAATTTGGGCGTTCTTTTTATGGACACTCTCTTTTTAACATATTCTACGAATTTCGTTTAGATTTCTAAGGCTAAAAGTCGCTCTATCGTAAGTTCACTATTTACGCTTCCAGGTGTTGCGCCGGTTCCCTCGTGAAACTTCGACGGGTCATAACTTTTTCGTTATAACTCGGATTTCGGTGTTCTTTATATCCCCAGAATCCTTTTTCGACCACTACAACTTTATGTAGAGATATCGGGCTTATCTCATACTTTAATTTTGACGCTTATTTTTATTCTTTATTAATTATACATTTATAATTAAATAATAAACACATAAATACACATAATACTCAGATATTTCATCTTTATTACTTCAAAAAGAGTAACAATTGTTGACCTAGACTATTACATTGTCAAAAATGTTTAGCCCCAAAACCCAAGCGTTACACTTAGCCACTTTTATATGTAACTTATATGTAACTTAGGTAGATAAACCATTATTAATCACAGTGGGAACCACTTCTTGTACTTTTGTCTAGCATATAATGTGCATGTGGTAAAAGTATTACACACTGTCGAACATATGGACCACATTGTGTCCTTCATCTAATTGAATTTATGCAAGGGTCCCTTGTTTGCAAACTATCATAAGGACAAAATTTGGGACAATTTTAAATTGGCACTATATGGTTCCAATGTTGGTCAAGATTCTTGCATTTTATAAATTCAAAATACCAATTTATGCATGGAACCTTAATTGTCCTTACCATGCATGCAATATAACAACTTACTAAAAATAACAATCAACTTAATAACAATAACAACCAAGTGCACATTAACACCATATTAACATCCAGTAACAACAAACTTAAATAGTATCATACAAAATAAAGTGCATAGCTTTATAAAAAAAAGAAAGTACACGCTAACATAGAAAGTGCATTTTCACTTAATCTAAAACAAGACCTTTAGATTTTGAATTTCCATGTGCATCTTCATCACCAACTCTCTTGGCCAGCTTCATCTTCAAAATCCTTTCAAAAAAATTTCTTTTTAATGTTGTTCAAATGGTTGCCATTGGTCTTAGTGTAATCTCCTATTGCACTTGCACCTCGCCAACAATAACATTGTCATTTACTTGCCCAACCTGTTCACCACTTCCTTCTAGAACACCAACTCCATTTCCTAATACCTCAACCTCCATAGGAATGAGTTCCACCTTATCATACTCTTGTCCATCATCTTGATCTCTATCATCACCCATCCTCATTCACTTCATCAGAACCCACATTCTCTTAATCACTAACCATATGCTCTTGTTCTTCATGTCCATCATCTTGTCCTCCTTTTCCCACCACCACTATGATCTTGATCACCTTCATCTATATTGACCTATATGACAGAACATTAGCAAAAAAAATGAAAATTTACAACTGTATTAATTATTAACTATCTTTTTTTCTTCCGATAATAATTTTAGGGGGCATTCCAACATTACAAGCTCTTTTCTTGATTCATGGGTATTGCTTCACCCCCATCATCATCATCATCATCTTGGTTGTTATCATTTGCATCCTCCTCTTCACCATATAATTGACTCAAAAACTCATCACCCTTTGTTGTGTTCATAGTGACTGTATCTTCGTTAAATTCCACCTCCACATCTCTAAGGTTATCAATTTCCTTCTCATTTCCCCCCACCATCATTGCATGAATACTCATCATATTCTATTCTATCTAAAAACCAAACCAATCCTTTATTCCTTCACCAACATGGTCCACATAGAGGGAAAGTATCCCACCGGTTCCATAAGCATCAAAAATGAAACCAACGTAGTCTCCATCATTTGCAACAACAGTTATCCCAACCAATAAGGGCTTACTTGGCTCACAGTATGTAACGTCTTAAAAATACTAAGTAAAAAAAAATTCATTTTTGTACCAACATGGAGTACGTTGGGCGTACTCTTCTAAGCGGGTCAGGGTGTTGATGGCGTACAATGGGCGTACCCATACGATGTGCATACGTAAGCAGACCATAAACCTTAATTTTTAGGGTTAGGCCCCTATTTAAATGCCATTAAGGACCTTGTGGCTGCCCCTCATCATCCTCCTTCCCTCCAAAGACTCCACACAAAACCCTAGCCTTTCCTTGTTTGTTCTTGAGCATTGGTAGTAAACTTTTGGTGTTTTTGGTGCATTGTGAAGAAGTAGGAGCTGGTGATCAAGCATTGGTTGGAGTGGAGCTTGAAGATCGAGAATCTTCATCATCTTAGCAACTGTAGGGGTGAGCATGGTGCGGTTTGGTGCGGTTTTTGGCCAAAACCGAACCAAAAACCGCAACTTCGGTTTTTTGAAATTTAGAAACCGCACCGTTCGGTTATATGCGGTTCGGTTTTTGCGGTTTTTCATTGCGGTTTTTTGCAGTTCGGTTTTTTTTTGCAGTTTTTTTCCTGTTTTGTCTTTTTACTAAAACTCAAGTAACTCAGCGAGTTATTTTGACTCAAATGATGAGTGGTAATCATTTATTGGAGATAAATCCATACAACAACCTATTGGTTAGAAATCAAATTACTTAACCACTCATTCAACATGTTTCTAATGCTTCAATATAACGCGAATTTAATATAATATTTGTTTCACAAGTACATACGATAATATCAATTAATATATTCATAAAAATGATACTATATCACTAGTACTCTTCATATTTAAATGTTAAAAAAATGTCATAAACATTATTTGTTATTGTAAATACCATTAAATGTATGCTTAAAAATATACAATCATCCTCCGATAGATAAGATATATATTTACATTTATAGAAATTTTAATTGTCATAAGTTCTTGGTTCTTACAAATATCAACACTTAATATATATATATAATATATATATATATATATATATATATATATATATATATGCGGTGCGGTTCGGTTTTTTGTGGTTTTTGCGAGATTAAAAACCGCACCGCACCGAGTATTTCGGTTTTTCCAAAACTAAAAACCGCACCATCGGTTTCCATTTCGGTTTTGGTTTTTCGGTTTCGGTTTATGCGGTTTTTTCGGTTTTTTTGGTTTGCGGTTCGGTTTTTGCTCACCCCTATTAGCAAGTCTCAAAAGGTATAAAGTTGCAACCTTGTTGATTTATCTTTTAGATCTAGGTAGTTGGAGTTTTTGGCATATTTTGGTCCCTTGAGTTGTTCTTGTGAGTATAAGCCACTCCCGAAGCTTAGGATGTTAGATCTTAGTATTTTTGAGGTCCCTTGTGCATAAAAATCGTAGTTTTATGGGTTTAACTCAACCATGCAAGTGTTGATGTTCATCTCATGAGGTTTAAGTGGTAAGTTGGGTTTTGGGGCTTATTAAGCCATGCATAAGCTTAAAGCTTCCAACTTTATGGATTAAGACCTTGTTTTAGAGTAGATATGAAATTTAGACAAAAAGGTCTTAAGGGAATAAACCATCCAACGAAGGATTGGCTCATAGACCAGTACGTCGGGCATACTTCCATGTATGTTGTGCGTACGAGGTTCAAACCCAGTAAGTTGGTCAAGGGTGAGTACACAGGGTGTACGAGCTGGTTAAGCTCAGTGTGTTCCCTACTATGGGCTTATAGGGTCTTGGGCCATATTAGGCTTCAATTGCTTTTGGTTTGGGTCTTGGTTTTGGGCCGATTAAGGGAAATGGTAAAATGGCCTTTTACCCTAAAGAATCGGGTTTAATGAATTAGGTTCCTGGTTATGATTTATAACCTAATTATTAATTGGGGTATTAATTGATTTATTAGTGTGGGGATTCTCCGGTCTAACATCACAAACATCTATTTGTTTATCAACGGATCGAGTGGAGTTTGCTCCATATACTGTAGGATATTAGGGTTGTTGAAGGGTTTTTGTTGCATAAATATATAACTTTTCACAAAAATCGGCAACGGAAGCTTTAAAATTTCTTATAAATTTTAAGTATGACAACAAAAACAAACGATCAAGGATCTTTTTAAGGAGGTTAAAATGATGTTACAACAACAATAGGGTGTTTAGAAATAACAAACTTTGTAGCCTTTGTACCCTCTTGGATTTGGGGTGTTGAAGTAAATGGAAAGAACAAGGAGCTTGATCTTCTCTACAAGTAATCCACCAACAACAATAAGGTACCAAAATTTCTAGATTTCTTCTTGTACAACTTTTTTCTTTAAGCCTTAAGTGCTTAATCAATTAAGCACTAATGTAACGCCCGTAGATCCGGGATAGTCAATTAGAGACGTTAAGCGTCAAAAATGACTTTTTGATGGAAGATTATTTTGAAGGAATAATATTAATTAAGTTATATTATATGTTACAAGGTTTCCGTGCATATAAAGAACGCCGAAATCCGAGTTATAACGAAGAAGTTATGACATGTCGATGTTTCGCGATAGAACCGGCACGACACAGCGCGGCGTAAAAAGTGAATTTACGTTAGAGCGATATTTAGCCTTATCAATCTAAATGAAAGTCGTAGAATACGTTAAACCATGAGCGTGCATAAAAAGAACGCCCAAATCTGACTTCGTATGAGGAAGTTATGATTTTTCGAAGTTTCGACTTAGCAGTATGCACCCGAATGCTCGATTTGAGACCGAGCGGTTTTTAGCCAAAACAATCTAAATGAGAATTTAAGATCTCATTAATTGTAGTAAAACAATAAAAAGATAGGCGAAAACGGACGTCGGATGAAGAAGTTATGATTTTATAACGGAGTTTTCTTGTCCCGGCCTACTAAATATAAATAATAAAAATAAAGTCAAAGTTAGCCGATGGAGTCTAAACGAAAGTTGTAGATCGTAGTGTCACCTACGTGTGGATATAAAGAACGTCGAAAATGGAGTTTGTATGAGGAAGGTATGAATTTTTGAAGTTTATTTAATAATTTCGATATTTAATTTAAATAAAAATTGGCCAATATTATCCATGGGGGGAGTCAGCGACCTTATCGTCGTTACGCCTTGCGTAAATTTATGCCCCGCGTAAATTGGGATTCATCCCCCTATAAAAGGAAGTCGAGTGCAGCCGATTCAGTTGCTCATTTCTTCCCGTTTTCTCGCGTTTTTGCATCGTTTTTCGTGCAAGAAATATCCCGAAGCCCACGTATCATTCCCGAGCCCCGAAGAAAGTCCCGAGGCCCCGAAGATCCCGAGAAGTGCAATTCCCGAGCCGAAACTCTGCCCACGAGGAGTCCGGTTTTTGTGAAAATCTTCCAGATCTACCGAAAAATACTACTTCTACAAGCCGTAGTGCTGTCCGATCATCTTCTGATCAAGTGAGTGTGTAGTTACTTTCTTCTAACGCATAATTATGAAGTATTTTATACGAAATACATGTTATGTGTATATATATATTGTGGTTTATATGTGTGAGTGTGCGGTTACTCTCTTCTAAACACATAAATATAAAGCATTAACTATGAAATACGAGCTATGTGTTATATATTAATTGTCTATATGAGATGGGCTTGGAATTGATGTTTTTATATGGGTGTTAAATGATTTAAACTATATATGTAATTTATATCTACAAATAGTTGATGTGTGTTGAACGAATGTGATAAGAGAAAGATGAGGATACAATGGTGATGATAATTAGGTGATGAGAAACAGGTGATGATGATTAGGTGATGAGAAATAGGTGATGATAACTAGGTAATGATAAATAGGTGATGTGAGATGAGAAGAGATACCATAACCTTGACCGGTGATGTGGAAATTTGGCGATGTAGTCATCTACTAGAGTATAGATGGCGACCACGGACTATTCTAGATGACCCCGTGGAAACACCAGCAGGCTCATAACCTATAGGTGATGAATTACGAGTCAAGGCGATGTTGTGGCTACGTATTCATGCGATGATACTCTAACCCTTACTATGAATTACGAGTCCAGGCGAAGTTGTGGTTATGTATTCATGCGATGATAGTCTAACCCTTATTATGACTTACTAATCCAGGCGATTTTGTGACTACGTATTCATGCGATGATCCTTAGGAACAAACATACAAGGAAATGTGATGTAACGAGATGAGAGGTAAATACGATGTAGGAGATGACCCTTAGGATAATTCCTTAGGGAAGGTACTTAAGAAATAAATGGAGATAACGGGGATCGGTAAATGGGTTGATTGTTTGATGATTGAGTATAATAATTATATTATTGTGGGTTGAAAACCCTATATGCTCACCAGGCTCCTAAGCCCGATCCACTCAGTTTAATTGTATCACGGGTATCGATACGAAGCTGCTTTGCACTGAGAGATTAAAGGAGATGTAAATCTCTAGAGTAAATGAATGTATGTTCTGTTTATGCTTATGTGTCTGTATCGGAACATGACATCCCGATGTTTTATTATTTAATGAAAATACATTCTCTTTGAGAAATGTTTTGATAAGTTTTTATCATATCTTGTTTTGGGAACAAATTCCGCAACCGTTTTTTTTAAACGAATACTCTGATTTATAAAACAAAGCATAAACAAATCAGTCTTTTCTGGCCGTGAAATTGGGGATGTCACAACTAAAGTAAGACACAAAATGAACACCAAAAGCAAGTAATGTCTTCAAAAGAGGAAAGAGCTCCAAGCTCTTATGTTGCTTAAAGTTTTGAGAGAAAAGGAGAAGAAGTTTTTGAAACAAAACTAGGAATCTCTCCATGTATAAGTCCCTATATCTACA